GGGGGGGGGGGTGAGGGGTGTGTGTGTGTGTAAGTGAGCTTGAGGTGCAGTCACAACCTGGCAGATCTGTGAGGAGTTATGGTTTTTTATAGATACTGACAGTACTTGTTCTGCCACTTACTGAGACCTAGCATGGTGGGGACGAAGGAGACATAAGATGTGTTCATTGTTGGGGAGGGCTTATCTTGTGGTTTCCAAATGGTCGCTGGTCAGGGAAGACACCCAGTCATTTGAGCGCTGAAGTCTCCCGATAAGGACTCTGGGCCGGTCCTGGCCTGTGGACCTGTGGGCCTGCTCTGCAGGGTGGCCCTGTCCCACTGCCCTACTGGGCTGGAGAGGGCCTCAAGCCTTCGCTGAGTCGGGCTTTGTGTGTGGGCAGCATCCACACATACCCGCACCCCCTCCTGTTAGTGGGTAATGTCGCGGGCCTCTTTTCTAGGCGGGACACAACTTTTACAATGTGGACATGAGCTACCTGAAGAGGCTGTGTGGCACCCTGCTGAAGGGCCCCAAGCTGCCCCAGAGGTGAGTGCCTGCTGCACCGCAGCCACTGTGGCCGAGCAGGAGAGCACAGCTAGAAGCCGCCTCCCTGGCTGCTGAGGTCCCCCCAACCCAACCCCCCCAGCTGCAGAGCTGCTGCCTGAGGGGCAGGGCCCAGCTTTGGGGCCAGTGTTTGCTGCCTAGTACCTTGTTGCAGTGGATTTAGAACCCTGGTGGGAAAGCCCCGGGTGGGAAAGAGACTAGGTCTGACTGCAAAGTCTGTGTGGGCTCTTGGAACAATTTAAGGAAAATTGAAGGGACACCCTTTAGGGTTGTATAGACAACTCTCTCATGGCCATGTTAATGCAGAAATAACTTTCTCAGGAAGTACTAGGTGTGCCCAGCAGTTAGGGCGCACCACTGTATACCCTGGATGATTTTCTGTCACCTGTAGCTAAAACTCCTGGAACAGAGCCGGACAGTAAATCCTGAGATGCATGCAGTGGTGACTTGTGCTGAGCAGATGGCACAACTGCCCTCTGGGGAGACTCATTCTGTGCAGACTGGCTCTCGGCCCCAGCTACAGTCGCATAAGTGATCCTGCACTAAGTGGACTCTGGGGCGGGAGGCGGCTTTTGGAGGAGCACTCATAATGAAGACTTCCCTATACCCAGAGTTCACTTTGCTGAGGACATGGATCTGCCTGAGAGCTTTGATGCCCGGGAAAACTGGCCCAAATGTCCGACCATCAGAGAGATCCGAGACCAGGGTTCCTGCGGCTCCTGCTGGGTAAGGCTTGCTGGCTGAGGGACAGCGGGTGGGAGCCAGAGCGATCCTGGGAGAGGGGTTGGGGCCGAATGTGATGAGTCAAGTGACATAAGATCAGCGGTCATGTTAAAGAGCAGAGATGTCACTTTGATGCTAACGTGCTCCTGGTCATACATTGTGAAGGCTGGACAGTGCATGAGGAAAACCGGAAAAGAACCGATGCATTTGAATGATAGTGTTGGCAAAAAATATTCAACATACCACGGACTGCCAGAACCTATGAGTCTGTTTTGGAAAAGGTACAAAAAGATCGCTCTGTGTTAGGCTGCGTTGACTAGAGAAACAAATCCAGTGGTGCTCTTATATGTAAGAAAGATCTTTCCATCAAGAAGCTTTATGTAGCAGGAAAACATCCCAGCCAATCCAACTCAAGCCCCTAAGTTTGATACTAGTCTAAATCCCTCTTCATCCTCACAAAGCCACATGCAATGATGCAGAATGCAGGAAGATCACAGGCTGGTGGGTGCAAGGTCATGTGGATCCAATGGCATGGTTCATCACAGGGCTCTGGCAGGTCTCAGAGTGGCCTGGAAGCAGGAGGGTGAAGGGAGAGCAAGGGAGGCCGGGCCTCCAGGCAGCCACATATCTTGGTATCGCTGCCAAAGGGGGTCATCAAGCTGCAACCTGACTGACAGGCTAAACCCCACCCATGTCCTCTTACAGATGCCATGTTGGCACAAAAATCCTAACTATCACTCCCCTTGGGATACATTAACACAAAAGACCTGTCCCTGGGGAAAGGGCGGCGTGTTGTGCTTGGTAAAGTGGGAGGTCGAAAGTAAGGAAGAAGACCCTCGGCAAGGTAGATTGGCCCAGTGGCTGCGCGCGAGGTTCAAGCCCTTATGATGCAAGAGCTGGCGGTGTTCGCTGCTGTGCCTTTGTGTCACCGATGGGAGCCGAGTGGGTGGCAGCTAGCAGGAATGGCCAGGAATCATGGTGTGGATTAAGTGGAATCGCCCAACCCATTGCTGTTGAAGTGATTCAAACTCATCTACAGGGTTTCTGAAAGTGTAAATCTTTATAAATGCAGGCAGCCTCGTCTTCTATGGAGCTGCTGGTGGGCCTGAACTCCTGACCTTCCATTTAGCACCACAACATGTAGCCCACTGCTGCGGCACCAGGGCCCATTAGGTAGATTAATAGACGTGAAGAGAGCCTGGTAGATTGTGAGCCCCGTGTATGTTCACTCTTGGGCTGTTTTCCATTCTCTACTTGACACCATCTTTTTAGTTCATCAGTAGGTACCGTTTGCTCTGGGCACAAGTTTCCCATCTGCATCAACAAACTTTTTATGTTTAAAAAAAATGACTTGTTTCAGACATGAACTGAGTAACTGAGAACTATGGGGTGGGTCGGTCCTTTGCCTTATCAGAGCTTCAGCCCAGGTACGCTATGAACAGCCTGGTGCCAGGAGAGACCAGCCACCCAGAAGTGCCCACTGTGGCCCTCCCAAGGCACTGGCTGGAGCGTGCTCTCTGTCTTCTCGTGAGACCAACAGTCCACACTTGTTGGCCTCTCACTTGGGTGGGGTTGTCCCTGCAGGCATTTGGGGCTGTGGAGGCCATCTCTGACCGGATATGCATTCACACCAACGCGAATGCTAATGTGGAGGTGTCTGCGGAGGACCTGCTCACCTGCTGTCACATGGAGTGTGGGGATGGGTGAGTTTGGATAGTGCTCTCCGCCAAGGGAGGCCCAGGGACACCCCCGGGGAAAGATGCCAGGCAGCCGGGACCCCCGGGCTTCATCTGTCGGAGAATTTGTAGGCAGTGACACTGAGGGAAGGATACCTTGGGAGGAGAGAGGTATTCTCTCCCTTTGAGACCCTAAACAGCTCTTCCCGTTGAAAAGTGTTCTCTCTCTTATCGGAGACAGAGTGAGGACCTAGGGGGCTGGAAACGGCCTCTAGTGTGGCAGCTGCTCTCGGGAGATTGCTGAAGCCAGGCTGGCTCCACAGTGCTGTGGCGGGCAGGTGGGGTCCTGGGAAAACTGGTCATTGTGGGCTGGTTCATTACCTTTCGGACCCCAGGCCTGGCTTCTGAAACAACTCGTTCCCTTTTCTTCCAAACTCAAATCCTAAGCCCACTGCTGCGGAGCCGTAATGCGTCCGCACGATGCTGTAGGCTGAGTGGAACGGCTGAGGGTTTCCGAGACTGTAAGCTTCACACAAGCAGGCAGCCTCTGGTGGGTTCCCCCTGGGACCTTTCTGTTAGCGGGTCACTGCTTCCCCCACTGCCCCACCACGCACGCACGGCTCGCTTGCTTGCTTAGGGGATGGTTCGACTGCCTGGGCCTCTGTCCTTCTCTGCAGTGTAGGGTGGTGAGCCCGCCATCCAGAACTAAATTTCCACCTCACGTATTAGCCTCTGCAAAGGTCTGTGGTTCCCGACCTTGACTGTGGGTGAGAAGTTCCTGCAAGTGTAATAAAAATAGCATGCTTGGAGCCTTTACCCCAAACAGGTTAAATCGGAATCTCCAGCATTGCCCCGGGGAATTTCCGTGTTTGCTGCCTGCTTCTTCAAAGATGGCCCGGGTAGCCCTTCTGACAGGGGCTTCTCAGTGGGGTGGGTGGAAGCATAGCTGTTCCCTGGAAGCAGCGAATAGCCCGGGACGGAAGCCCGAGGTTCTTGGTGTCTGGGAGTGCTGTGGGGCCGGTGGCTGAAGGCACTGGTGGACCCTGGAGCTGGGGAGCTGCCCTCACAGTGAGTTCTAATGACTGCTCTTTTCTTAGCTGCAATGGGGGCTTTCCGGCTGGAGCTTGGCACTACTGGACCAAGAAAGGCCTGGTTTCTGGAGGCCTCTATAACTCCCATGTAGGTGAGTGTCTGCCCTTGGTTCGGGTTTTATCAGCAATGAGTAAGGATGGCTTCGACATAGCTTTATGCAGGTATACAGCTTACACAGGTGAGGGTGGAGGGCAAGAACACTGAGCTCTGAAATGGCCTAGAAATACCATGCACTTCTTTCTCCAGCAGCGGTCAAAAGTGGTGGTTGAAAAATGTCAGTGCCGCAGATTGATGATAACGAATGCTCACCCTCTCCCTGCCCCAAACCTGGTGCAGGCCATCGGTTGACCTTCCCATTTGGTCCCTGACAGGCTGCAGGCCCTACTCCATCCCTCCGTGTGAACACCACGTCAATGGCTCCCGACCCCAGTGCAAGGGAGAAGGAGACACGCCCGAGTGCAGCAGGACCTGTGAGCCTGGCTATTCCCCATCCTACAAAGAAGACAAGCACTACGGTAAGATGGGTTCTGGGCTCCCAAGGAGACTGGGCCCTGTGACTGGCGGCACTCTGGCTTTGGCCAAAGGAGGGACGAGACCCAAGCAGTTGAGCCTTTTGGCCGGTGAACACCAGGAGAGATCACGGAAAGGAGGATGCCTCTCTTGCCAGAGGCCTGTCTCCACCTTGCACCGGGAATGTCGTAGATCCATGGCCCTTCAGAGCTGGACGGGTTCAACCCTTTCAAGGCAGTGAAGTGCCCTAGACTAGTTCTGGCCTCTGTCCAGTAGCGCACGTGGACTATTTTCCCCACTGCAGTTTCTGCCTTTCTGATCGCCCTCCAGGGCCAGCTCCCCGTTTATTCCAGGGAAGCCTTACCTGCCTCCCTTGGCTGGGTACAGTCGTTCCCCCCCCTCCCCCCCACATTTCCTGGAGACCTACGGTAACTTGGTGACTGAAGCTGCAGGAGGCTTGACTCAGCCTGGCTGGCCTGGTTTCATCTTCCAGGGTACAGTTCCTACAGCGTGCCTCCTTCTGAGAAAGAGATCATGGCTGAGATCTACAAAAATGGCCCGGTAGAGGGAGCCTTCTCTGTGTACACAGACTTCCTGCAGTACAAGGCTGGTATGTATGGACATGGGACTGAGCGCAGGTGCAGAGTGGGGTGGGGGCGTGCAGGTGGGCCAGTAAGAGCCTTCATCCAGCCAGCCCTTTGTGGGGAGGGCAAGCGGGCTTTATTGGGAGCCCCTCACCTGGGTCTCATCCATACTCTATCAGGTAGAGTCTGGTGCCCGGTGGACCTTATAGTCCATGTTCTCAGCAGCTTTCCCACCTGCTGTTCATGTCATCTACACATGCTTTAGCAGATACCCTCCCCAGCGCTAATCCTACTCACACCTCTCTCTGAAGTCCTCCCTGGCCGTTGGCCACTCCTGCCTCTGCCTGCATCACTCCACCGGCATGTTGACATGATCACTGTAGGTTGGTGTGCCCGGCTTTGTCTTGGTGTCTGACAGAGAGCCCAGCATCATGTCTGGCACCTAGCAGGTGGCTATACATGGAGACCATTGGTGGTGTATGGTCAAGTCAAGGAAATTGGACAGTCCCTGCCCTTTAGAGCGTTCTTGCTGATTCATTTGCAGCACGAAGGGACCGTGTGTGACAGCACAGCTGCCACCAAGGGGGTTCTGGGCTGTCATCTTTGTAGGAGGTGATCACCAGGTCTTCTCCGTGTGACCAGTCAGGGCATAGGCGTGTGCGCTGCCAGCCTTTGCGTGGCAAAGATAAGATAGAGGAGCTCAGTGCTTCACCAGGGCCCCAGAGAGCTGTCTTAGAAATTGCTTATTTCATAGTAACTCACTTTGCTGGGTTTATCTCATTTGCATCCTGCTAATGAGAAACATCTAAAAGTTCCCCACTCTTGTAAAACCAGAATTGGACAAAGGAAGTTGATTCTACCAAGAAAAAGTTCTTTACCAGTTAAAAGGCAATGGGTCAGCCAGGGACCAGCCTGGTTAGCCAGCCTTCTGAGGGTCAGCAGTTGACTGAATGCTGCAAGCCAAGCCGACTCCTAAGTCCTTTCTCTCGTGTGGACCCTTGAGCAGCAATTTTTAAAACTTTTTATGCCACTAAGCCCTTTTCACAAATGAACTCTGACATGGAATCCCAGCTTGTCAACACATAATTAGACAATTTAGTACTATTAAATTTATCTCACAAGTTGGAATTTTGCGAATGGCTTGTGGCAAAATGGAAATGAAAAGACAGTTTTCCTACTTAAAAGTCCCTTCATTTAAGTGTGTTCTTAAGCCAGCCAATTTATTTGGTTGGACGGACTCTCTTGTAATGTTTTCATATTTAGGTGTCTTTGGACCCTTAAAAATACACTTAAATATTAGAAATATGGATCTAAAATTTGTGGGAAATCTGGAGCCTTCTCATGGAACCTCAGGGACTTGCTTTGAAAGCCCCAGGCTCAGTGCTGTTCACAAACTAGGCCTCGTGGCTGAAGGGCGGCCAGCTGGATCGGCTGGCACTCTAGGAGATGGTGCAGTAGCCTTGGCGCGGCCTGAGCCCTGTTTTTCTTTTCTCAGGAGTGTACCAGCATGTAACCGGAGAGGAGGTAGGAGGCCATGCCATCCGCCTTCTGGGCTGGGGCGTAGAGAATGGTGTCCGCTACTGGCTGGCTGCCAACTCCTGGAACACTGACTGGGGTGACAATGGTGAGTGGAGGCTCCCTTCCAGTTACGCCCACATTCAGATTTTCAAACCCTTTCTATCAGCCAGAAGGTAGTGGCTGCCTTACCCTGTCCACTGTGCCTCTCGGTTGATAGTCAGAGGCTTTCCTTCTGCCACAGAGAGGGCATGCTGTCCTCTGTCCTGTGAGGGGGCAGGATGGGGCCAGGCCATGACCTCACATAGACCCTATACCAGGTGAGACTCCTGGCATGCAGGATGTCATGGCTGGCCTAACAGGTGAGCAGAGCTGTTAGAAGTCTGGGGGCTGGGATTGGCTCCTCCTCCGGCCCTAGTCTCTTGGGGATGCATGTGCATATTCTGACACAAATCTCAACCCGGGGCACTCTTTAAAAGCACCTGATTCTCTCTTTCAGGCTTCTTTAAATTCCTGAGAGGACAAAATCACTGTGGAATCGAGTCAGAAATCGTGGCTGGAATCCCTCGTACTGACCAGTACTGGAATAGGATCTAATCACCGGTGACCCTGTCCAACCGGCCCTGCGGGAGCTGTCCTCTAAATATAGCCAGCTGGGATTGGGGTGGGGGTGGGTAGGGTAGGAATGTCTCTTGTTGCTGGAGTTCAGAGAAGATGCAGGAGGTTTTAGATAGTGGCTGACATGTTTCGGGGCCCAGAGGTCTGGATTGGGCCAAACTGTGTGTCTGCTATCAGAGCTGATCTTTTCTGGAGTTGACACCTGTCTTCCATGGAAGATAAATCCAAGTCCTGGCTACCTCCCAGCCTGTTCGGTGGGCCAGTCCTCCCAAAGCAAACAGACCACACAAGCCCCATAGACTAGTACTGTATGTAGTGCCTGCCTTTCCAACTCCTGCTGCAATGACCCGCCACAGCCTGCCCCCTCCGCCCCCCCTACACACACACACACACACACACACACACCCCTGCTGACACAGCTCCAGGGAGCAAGACTTAGTGAGGACCTAAGGGGGTTGACTTCCAGTTTTCCAAAGGAATGGGAAATAAACTTTCAGAAGATTGACATTTCCACACAAAAGCACTCTAAGCAAGTGGTCTGTAGCATAAGATGAGAGGTGGTGGGAGCAGCCCTTGGAAGAAAGCCCCATCTTCCAGGACACCGGTTCCCATTGAGCTTTGTAATGTTACACACTTTCTCCTGGCTTCTGTGTGATGATTCTTTTTTAATAGAAACTTTTATTTTTAATGCACCTCCAGTGATCATGTGAATGAACCAGTTCTACATTAAAAGAGCTGTACTGATTTTCCCAGAGCTTACGACTGAGTGGTCAGAGTTTGACTGACAGACATATCCACCTCTAATACAGTGGGAGAAAGCAGCTTTTACTGTTTGCTTAACCTACCAGTTTAACAGAAGAGTAACTGTGCCAATAAAAAGGTCCTCCTTCAAATGATAGTTTGTTTTCTGGTGGTAATTTTGTTATGCCTGTACATACACATCTGCCCTTCTCACCAAAAAAGGAAGCCTGTCCTCCTAGATCCGGGAGTCCTTCAAACAACTCCCAGGATTGTCTTGTCTTAATCAGGTGGAACAAAGTGAAGAATCTAGTTTGGGTTTTGTTTTTTAATAGTTTATTGTGTAATGATTTATTAGCATATGGTTCACATACCATGCAATAGTTCATTCATATTAAGACTTGTGTAATCAAAATAACTTAGTTTCAACTTCTGGGTCCCACCATAGTTTCAAATCATGTCTGCCCTGTCATCTCCATAAGTCCATCCCTTGACGCGGTCCCAAGCTTGGTAAGCTCTGTGTCTGCTGGTTCTAAAGAGCTGAGCACATGCTCCTTTTTTTACGCAACTGCACATTGTCTTCCTGAGGGTTCTGTTGAGAATCACCACGACCCAAGATGACCCGTTAAGGACCCGAGCCCGGGTGTGCCCGACCTTGTAGACCGTCTCTTCAGAGGTGTGTGTCGCTTTGACTTACATTGCTCATTAGAAACTCCTATTTGAACTGGCCCCAGTTAGGAACCTTAAGTAAGGGAGTTTACCAGTTCTAACCCAAGGGACTAGAAGAACTAGAAAAATCAGCATTCATCCCACTAGCCAGACAATATAAATCCAGAGTTTGGCTAGCTCTTTTCATAAGTAGAAATTTTGACATCGTATGTTACTCAGGCGAGGAATTGGGAGCTTCAAATGTAAGCTCAAAATCAGAAGGAACACTTTTTGAAGGAAAACAATTTATTAATAAGTTGATTCCAACTGATAGCAACCCATAGGACAGACAGACTTATCCCCATAGGGTTTCTGAGGTGGTAATCCTTGTAAAAGCATACCTCCCCTCTTGCCCGCCCGCGGAACCAGCTGGTGATTTGAACCTGACGCCTGAACTCCCTCTACTACACCACCAAGGCTCCTTGAAACTGGTTATAGCACGTAGGAGGGTTTAACAGCAGTTACCAAGGTACAGATTTGTAACTATTCTTGTAATTTTCAACTAGAATAAATTCCTAACCTCAATGAAGTTGAGAGTTCTATTCACTCCCCAAACTGAGGTAATTCCATGTCTGTGTTCCCTTCCCCCATCTCTGCCGTGGACCCACCTGAAATCCCATCCCACCCCCACCCAGAGCCAGCAGGTTTGGTGAAGTCCCAAAAAGAATTGTTCAGCATCTTCACACTTGGCTTAAGAAGGCTGATAGAAAAATCAGACAGTATTTATGATTGGGACAGATCTTACTACTTTAATAAACCTCAAAACTAGCCCACTTATTGGCCCAAATCTCATTTGAGTTGAATCCATTAAGTGGCTATACGTTTTCTTAGGAGTCTGTCCGCAGCAAGGTGACAAGGTGGACGTGAAGATGCCCTCTAGGGAAGGGTGTTTTGAGAGTTTAGAAGCTTGGGTGAAGCAAAGCAGTCATCCTTTTTGCATAGGTTCCCAAACCTCTTTGCCCTCTACTACCCTGTTTACAGAGAAAAAATTACTGTGCCCTCTGGCAATTAAACCCTTTTGTGCTACATAGCCCGTAACGGAGGGTAACGTGTAAGTCTCTGCTTCGGCAACCCCTTTCCAACACATCTTGGAGCCCTGCTGCTCAAAGTGGTTCACAACTCCAGCTACTATCTGACACCTAGGCATCTGTTCGAGGTCCCTGGGTGGGTTTGCGCTGGAGGCGGAACACCTGGGAAGAAAGGTCTGGAGAGCTGCTGCCTTAGGATGGTAGCCAGAAAGCCTGATGGAGCCTTTTACTCCAACATACAGGGTCGCCATCGGGCGGAATTGACTGGACAGGACTAGGTTTGGTTTTGTGTTTTTAGGAGCTTGTTTGAAATACTGATTCTGCGTCAGACTCCCTGAACCTGGATTTGCATTTGAACAATACTCAGACATTTGTTCTGTATTTTCCATTACACCAGTGATTCACAGGCTGGTCCACCGGCCAGAAGCATTGGCATCACCTGAGAACTAGGTAGAAATACAAATTAATTGGGCAATGCCGATTTACTGAATCAGAAATCCCATAGTCCCAGCAATCTGGGGCATTCAGATATGGCTTTATACCAGCGGTTCTCAACCTGTGGGTCTAGAGCCCTTTGGGGGTCGAATGACCCTTTCACAGGGGTTGCCCGATTCATAACAGTAGCAAAATGACAGTTAATGAAGTATCAATGAAATTTTATGGTTGGGGGGAACTGTATGGCATTAGGAAGGTTGAGAATCACTGCTTTATACCCATCAACGTTGACATATCTCGCTGTCCCCACAAACCTATGAAATTTGGCTTAGCAAAGCATTGTTAAAGAAGAGCAAATAGGCTTCTCACGTCCAACCTGAAAACCTACAGACAGCCATTGTAGTCGAAACAGCCTGGTACTGGTACGAGAGCCATACAGACCAATGGAACAGAACAGAGAAAGCAGAAATAAATCCATCCACCTACAGCCAAGTGATTTTTGACAAGGGGCCAAAACACTTTAAATGGGGACGAGAGTCTTGATAACAAATCACTCTACTCACTGCTATTGAGTTGATTCATGATCCCGTGAGATTCTAAGACAATGGGAGTGGAAAGCCCAGTCTTTCTCCTTTGGAGCAGCTCGTGGTTTCAAACTGCCAACCTTGAAGTTAGCAGCCCAACACAACCATTATGCCAAGACTCCCATCAACAAATGGGGTTAGCAAAATCAGATTTCCACTTGCAGAAAATTGAAACCCACACCTCACTCCATATATATGAGGATTAGAGCCTCAAGATCGATTAGAAACCCATGACAGATGCAAACCCTAGAAGTATGAAGGTCTCAATGAAAACAAGGACACGTAGGAGCCCTAGTCCTAGCTTATCAAATCCGGTGACAACTCGGCTGTCAAAACTGCCAAGCTCGAACTCTACACTGCTCCAACAGCTAAGTTCAAAAGAATCTGCTCCATAGTGAACCAAAAATCCAACTGGGAAAAACCTGTCTGGGCCGAGAGCAAGGCCTGCGCCATCTCCCTGCGTACACCAAGGGGTGACCCTTAAGTGTAAGCACTGCTCTTACTCAGACAACAGGGTGCTTGTGTTAGTGAGTGAAAACATTTGTCATTGTGGTTCTCTTTGGCACTTTATTTGTGTAAGCTATCATCCCCATGCCTCCAAAGAAAATGATACCAGCAGTAAAGCTAAGAGGAAAACTGAGAGCCACAATATAGTTGTAGGAACTGCTGCAACATCTCAATCAGGTTGCTGCCGCTTGTCTAATTTGGTGGCTGAACCTAATAAGGCTACATTGACGTTATCAACATTGACATTTTGGAGAGAAAAAAGGGACTGACAGTTCCGGGGGGACATGGGAGAGGGGGAGGAGGGGGGAAGGGAAGAAGAGGGGATAACAAACCCAGGGACAAGGGAACAACAA